AAAAAATCTTATTAAGCGACAGCTAAGAAGTTCTTATCATCATCATCATCATCATCATCATTATTATTATTATTAATATTGTTAATAATAATAATATTATTATTATTATTATTATTACTAACAACAAGAGTTGCATTTTCAAAATTGTTAATTAATACGACATTTGAGATAATCTTATCAGTATATTATACTAGATTATGACTATTGTATCTATTATTATTATTATTATTACAATTGTTATTATTGTTTTATTGTTATTATTATTTATAATAATAATATTATTATTATTAATTATTGCAGTCATAATTTCAAAAGATGGATTATTATGAAGAAAATAGTAAAGAAGAGTGGTACCAGGTGATTTAATTCAATTAAAATTTTTTCTTTCTCTCGTTCATTTATTTGTTCGTTCACTCACTCATTCATTTGTTTGTTCGTTCGTCTGTTAGTTCGTTCGTTCGTTTTTTCATTCATTCATTCATTCGCTCGTTCGTTTGTTTATTCCTCATTCACTCACACACACACTCACTCATTCATTCATTCATTCATTCATTCATTCATTTATTCATTCATTCATCCATTCATTCATCCATTCATTCATTCATCCATTCATCCATTCATTCATTCATTCAGTCAGTCATTCATTCATCCATTCATTCATTTCTCCAAAAGAACCTAAGTAGCTGGAAAAACAGAAGGAAATCCAATTCTAAAACCTCTCTAAGAACATTCGAGATGGAAAACGAGGCCAATGATGACGTCACAGCGATAGGAAATCCTGATAATGATGATGAAGTGGCCGTCCGTCGTGATGATGATGATGAGGAGGAGGTAGAGGAGAAGGCTGGTCACGCTATTAAGAAGTTAGTTTGATGACGACGATGACGATGACGACGATGATGATTATTATCATTGCCATATACAAACACAAATACAAAAGCACGTTGTACGCCTTGCAGGAGAAAGTTTCGCAATTACAAATGGAACAAATATCCAACGAACGACGACGATGATGACGTCATAAATGACGCCACCAACGATGTTGATGATGATGTCGTTACTGGGGGTGGTGGTGGTGATAATGATCGTTATGGTGATGGGAGGAGAAGGAATCCCGATCGAGATGGAAAAATACTACATCAACATCAGCCGAAACATCAACAACAACATCAACAACAACAACAACATCATCAACAACAACAACATCAACAACAACTACATCAGCAGCAGCAGCTGCTGCTGCAGCAACAACGGCAGCAACAGCCGATTTTGAAAACGATAAAAATCAGCCAAAGGGCATCGAACTCCAGAGGATTCGGTTTCGAAATTTCACGAAACGAAAAGACGGAAAAAATTTTCGTCTCAAAAGTCTCGAGAGGTATTAAATTTACATGGCGGACCTTTTTCTCTCCTAATTCCTGCCTATCCCTCGTTGAAACTTTCCAAAATATTTTTTCCTTTAAGTTAAAAACACACAACACACACGCACACTAGCACGTGCATACATACGTACATGCACACACACACACACACACACACACAAATGCACGCCTATTCCAGGGTCTTTTTAATTATTCATCCCCTTGGAACGTTACAATCTTCAATTCTCGTTCGAGAAAAAGAATTTAAACTTTTTTTCAAATTATAAACAGGTAGTAGCGCTGACATTTGCGACGTCCGTCGCGGTGACGTCATAACGTCCGTCAATGGCGTAGATATTGGCGGCCATTTTGTTGAGTCCGTTCGTCACGTGATAACCACTTCCGTCGAGAAAGGGACCATAGAAATGAAAGTTGAAAGAATTAAAAGTTCGGAAAGGAATTTTTTCTATTTTGTTTTTTTATATCTTTGTTCAATAGTTATGACGATGGAGATGATGATGATGAAGATGTTGATGACGATGAAGATGTTGATGATGATGAAGATGATGATGATGAAGAAGATGATGATGAAGAAGAAGAAGATGATGATGATAATTATGTTGATGCTGATGATGTTGATGCTGATATATATATATATATATATATTTATTTCAAATTAAAAATTTCAAAGGACCAATCGGAAAGGAAGAAGACGACGATGATGATGAGGAT